AAAATTATTTAACTAAGGTAGTTTTTGATATTTGCTACAACGAATATTATAAAGATAAGTGTTCATAATCTCTTTAATCCCAGTATAGGTAAAACGTAAAGATAATTAAATAAATATTTTGATAATAATTTATTTTTTTAATTTTACTTTTCTTAATTTCCTCAGAATTTATGTTCGAATCTTGTTTTCTCGATAAAATTTATTATGAACATTATTTTATCATTTTGACTTTTACAATAAAGCTATTTTGTGGAAGAATTTATGGAGCCTGTATAAAAAAATTGAGTTATTATCTTATATTGCTTATATTATTGATTTTGGAATACATTTAAATTCATATTTAATGAGAGATATTATGAGTCCGTATATTACATATATTTTATTTTGCATTAAAATTTTTGGACCAACGTGATGCGATTGTTTGTTTCAAATCGGAAAATTGAAACAATAAAATATTAAGTAAAAATAGACCGAGAAATATTCTATTACTATTAAGCAAAAAAGGCTACATTCGATGGTCGTGGTGACTCTTAATATTTAATAATATTTTTTGCGTGAATTTTATAATTTCCAATTTAAGCAATAATATGCTTATTAATGCAGTTTAGTGGTGCGGAACATTCAATTTAATCAATGTGCATTTTCTTTTATTGAACTGACCTTTCGGCCGAGTTTGCAAAATAAGCCAGTGATTACTTTGAGCGTATAACATGTTTACAACGTACTTGGATAAAGGAATGTTTGGCAGGCACTTGGGGTATGCACTTGCAAAATTGCAATCTCGCGTCACCTTCGCGGTGTATAAATATATCCAAGTTTTGAGAAATTCCTTAACGATTAATTCCACAACAATTAAATCCTTGCTATTAAAGTTCACGCGAACGAGGATAGTCAAATATTTAAGATATGTCGAGATTGCGTTTTTCTTAGAAAAAAAATATCATGAAAAGAATTTAAAAATATATTACGTAAAAGAATATTGAGCGTACGATTTGCGCTTTGACTGGAACGCAAATAAAACGTCGCGTAATTTTATGGGACGGTGCCCGTAAAAACATTGTGTTATTATCCCACATTATTTATATAATTCTGGAATGCAAAGAAAATTTCTTATCTCTCAACTTCTTAAGGCGAGAAACCTGTTAGAATAAAAAAAAAAGGCGTAACGAATAACGATTGTCCTTTTATGTATTGAGTGTTTTATAAAACATTTTCCACCTCTTTTGTCATTTCACGTTTCCAATGTTATCTGATATTTTATCAAATTTTTACATGCAGCTAACTGTATTGTTATCCCGTCATTTTTCATATACAAAGTTTACGAACCGGATGGCGAGACAAGCGCGTGTGTACACCGTTTATAACGAACGGTAGTCGAAAGAACAAGGAAGAACGAACACGCCCATTTCTCTTTATGCATCCAAAATATCAGATAGAATTTTGAATAATATTGAATTCTGATTCTTCGGGATAGTGCTTGCACTTTTAGACAATCCGTGAGATATGATTTATCGTTGTTCTCGTTCGAACATAGAAAATTCGAAGATATGTTGAGAGTAAGCTAAGTTCAGCACAGCTGTTCTGCTGTTGATGCTTTTAAAGAGCTTTGTAGATCCGATAAAGAGAATCAATTGATCGAGCGGATTACAATTTGGAATATATGTCATATATGTCGTCATATATGGCGTATATTTAAAATCTAAAAATTACCGATCTATCGATTGTGATTTCGGACTTTGTTTAGTGGTTCCCCATCCTTCGTAATTGATTTTAAAGCGTCAGAGCCATTTCGAAAACAAAAATTCTTTTTCAGAGAACTTTTTTTATATGTTCGAATGTATTGTATTCGCTTGCCAAACAATTTTAAAAGCCGTGTGTAGCATTTTTATGAGTATTTGAAAATAAATTACATTTTTTAAATAACAAGAAATTACATAAAATAATCATTTTTGTGACATGGAATACCTTAAGATACAAAGTACTCTTTGTGTCCTTATTTTACTCTTATGATAATGATGACAATTTTATGACGAATTTTGCGGATTGCTCGATCTTATCAGATAAAATATCAGAAAAATCTTTCTAGATTAATGCCTTGATCCTTTGTATGCTTGGCTCTATATCTACTTATATTTTAATTACGCCAGATTATATGTAATCAAAGACTATCAGTTTTTTGTGTACAGAGAGAGAAAGAGAAAGAGATAGAAAAAAAAAGAAAGAGAATATTTATTCTTCTTCGATCACGCACGATGCGTAACTAGGGAAAGCCGAAAGCCTCTTGAATGAAAAATGTCCTCCCTGCCAGAAGTGGGTCAATGATAAAAGGAAATATTTACTGCCGGTTTCAATAATTGTCTAAATCTTGATATCAGAATGTAGTTCCAATTTAACGAAGAAATTACAGTTTGATCCCTCGAGAAATTGGAAAATTGATTTTAAAAGCATTTTTGCCGTTTCATATTAAATATTTTTATAATTGACTATTGTGATTTTGATTCTTAAAATTGAATTTATTGATTTTTAGATTAACTTGTACGCGCTGCAAATAATTCTGTAAATTTTAATAATTTCCGAAGAATTGCACAAAATAGGAACAAATTATTTTGTTATTATCGCGTCAGATTGTTCGCGCGCGCGCGTGTGTGTGTGTATGTGTGTATTGTCAAACAGAACAATGAACCGCAAGACGAGATTTGGCTTAAACCAAGTCCTATATGACTGAACTTTCTTAATATCACACTGTAAATTTGTATAAGAAGCGAAGTTTCTGTTTACTGAAAATCCTCAACTTCATAAGCCGTTCAGCAAACTCTTTCTTTTCATTTTCATTTCTAAAAGTGGAATCTTACCTCTGTTTATCCTCTTTGTAAATATATTCTTATATATCATGGATCCCTTTAAAAATCTACATTTCGTTTTATTGTCCATCTAACATCAAAGTTTGTACTAAGTGATATCTCTGTCTATATCTTCACACAGATGGTATAAAAATAAAATAAATATACACAGCAAATGTATTTTAGATATATTTTAGATATACTTTGCTGTGTATATTTTAGATGCTATCGAAACATGTCACATTTATTTATTTATGGATATAATTAATTTTTATGGTTAGAAATTTAAAAATACATTTTTTGTTTAATGTTTGTAACTATATGATTTTATTCTATCAGTATTCATGTTAAATTAACGTTAAATTAAATTCACGTCGTAAAAAGTAATTGATCTTTTTTTGCGAAATTACAAATTGTTTTGCTGACAAGCATTGATAGCAAAATTAAATTGCGTTCTCGCGTACGGAAAATATAAAAAAAAAAGCGCTTTTACAGGGAGCTTTTACTTCTACCCATTTTATGTAACCAACGATCAATAGACGTCACGAAAATGTCACGTAAGAAAAGGTCCAAAGGTTTCATTAATGTTAAAGATACGGGGAATCAAACCTGTTGCCTTCTTTATTCAAAACGACAAGAAGAATGGGAAAACGTCTTTAACGATTCACTACACAAAGCGGCTTTTTATTGCATGGCTATCAAAGCACGGAACGTGTGCTCTTCAAAGAGATTACCAATCGTATTTCTGACGTGGAATTCAATTAATTCCCTAAAAGTAATTACTTTTGTTATGCGTTTGTACTAGTTTATCATAAACAAAATACTTGCGAAATCAAATCTGATTGTTTTCCGCGAGATGTAGCATACCTCATACATAATATCCGCTTTGTAATAATCTCTCGTGTTGTATTTAGAATGAAATTGAAGCGGTATATATGATTTAATTTAAAAGTATGCTTGAAGGTACTTCTAATTTAAAATGTGGTTTATTGGAATTAATTTGCTTTTATGAAGCGACAAAGTCCGTCTCGCTAGAGACCGACTGACACTATGAGTATAAATTTATGAAATATTACAAGATATCTTGAACGAACAGACTATGGCGAAACGTGTATGATGTAGCTGCGTACATTGTGGTGATCTAAATAGCAGTGGGCGTTCTTAATCGACGAAAACAAAAGGCCAGCGGCTTTCACCGTGATGTTATATGCACTATAGAAATTGGTCGGAGTGAAGGTGCTTCGTACGTGCATAGAGAAACGCGTCCGTGTACAAATTATATTGTTAGGAAGTAGCGTGGTCTTCTTGAAAGGACTCTTTTGGAAAGATACGAATTATTACTCACGATAACTCGTGTATTATACGAAAAGAATAGTATTATCTCTTATTCACGTGATCTTTAAAATTAAATACACTTGCTTCAAATAGGATATGAAGGAAATCGGTATAGAGATATATATCATGTTATACGTCAAAGCTCAATATAAATGTTTGAATTAAATAAATAAAAAAGCGTTAAATCGAGAGTAGATCTTGGTGCCTAATAATATTTATACGTTGAACTTTTAAGTAGATAGATGGGATGCTCAGAACACCCCAAAAAATTTTATATTTTTTAATAATACTGTATAGAATTAAATTTACATTAAATTTATAAATAATGTCAATTTAAGTAGTGTAAGTTTATTAATTTTACAAACAGTAATTAAAGTTTACTAACAATTAAGATTTAAGAAGTTTATTAATTTTATATTTTTCTATCTCAGAAGAATATAAATTTTATAAGAGGAATGTATAAAAAAAATAAACTTTAAAGCTTCTGGGTAATATACGTTTTATTTTTCTTTTCCAGAACAAAGTTTTTAAGATCATGCTTGAGATGTTATGGCCACCTGTCTACTTAAAGATTAAATATAAATACATCTTT